GCTAAACAAGTGAGCTGTGCCAAATTTCATCCAATTCGGATCATAAATGCGACCTGTACTTTGTTTACCATTTAACACCAACAGACAGACAGACGGACGGACGGACATCCATAAATCGACTCAGAAAGTGATTCTATGCATATTCCCAAAAGGAAACATGGGTTTATCTCGATTATTTTTGCATGTTACAAATATATGCACAAAGACATAATACCTTGTACCACAGTGTGATGAAGGGTATAAAAATCACAGACCTTCAGGTCTTAGAATAATTGTCATATCCTACTGTTTTCTACAAAAAATTCTCTAACACGCAGGTGTATTTTTACTATAAAATGTATTATCATGCCTTCTCCAAAAATATCAATTCATAGATATTCCGAATATCCTGCGTACATAACGAGCGTAGCGTATATCGCACATAAACCTTGACATATGTTTGTTTATAAAAGTCTATAAACACAATTAGAGTTTATTTATCGCAGTCATAAATATTAATATCGTGCACAATTTCAACATTTTGATACTCATTTAATTTATACTTTCTTTATTTTTTTGTTTGCATACAAAAAAGTAGCATTCCTTCTGCCAAGGATAACTGACACCTTGATACAAATACTTACACTTTATAATCACCGGAAATAAGTTTGATAATCACAGCGAAGAGTATAAAAACCACACAGGCCAAGCTAATAAAACTTGCTCTTGCCAGGCGGGAAACGTTCTTGTAGAGGCACAACGGCACCACAATGCCCACCGTTACAAAGAAAACCACACCCAGGCGTACAGCACCCATTGAAGAGCCCCACGATGGTATTAGGCGTACCAACACCTTAGACAGAGTATCACCAACCACAACATTGTAGGAAATCATGGCTGTAATTACGGAAATATAAACAAATATAAAACACACATACGTACATACATACACAGATACATATCAACACAAAATGCCATTTAGTTTTAAGTGCAGTGAATTTATTGTTGAACATTTCCGATACACGAATTAGTCGCATGATTTACCGAATGCTAGTCGCATTTGTAATGGTTATTGGATTTTATACAATAAATGTTTATTTTAAATATGGCTTTAGTGGAGATTTTAAAGATTTCAGACACCAGCACTCACTGCAACTAAAATCGGTGACGTACAATTTGTAATACATACACACATACATACCTAGGAATGGATACATAAATTGCAGCAAGGACAATAGGTAGTAGCCGTATTTGCCGTAGGCAGCCTCCATAATACCAGGATAACTGAAACGTCCACATATGTGACCACACTTGACCTGAAAAACACATAACGAAAACAAACACATACAATATCTGGTCTTTTTACACACACACACACGTCTATACACACAAACATGTTAAAATGCCATAGAAGCAAGACCACCGGATAGGCGGAAATAAACGTGTTCGTGTCATTGAAAATATTTAAGTGGATTTGAAATGAAATTCAACGATATTTCGTTGGTGCACATGACCCTGTTGCACATTTGGTTGGCCCACATATCACCAAAAAAAACTTAGGTTTTCATAATTAATATGACACTGGCTTACATAAACCACCGCAATATTTATACATTTAATTTGTTTAAAAATATTGTGCCAAGGATCATATAAATTTTATTTCTCCTATAAAATTCTATAGGAAAAAAAATTCACAGACCCATAAGCCCAATTTTTGTCTATAGAAAAAAACTCACAGACCCATAGGTCCTATTTTTAATAGAAAAAAATCACAGACCCACAGGTCCTATTTTTTTCTATAGAAAAAAATTCACAGACCCATAGGTCCTATTTTTTTCTATAGAAAAAAATTCACAGACAGGTCCAATTTTTTCCTGTAGGAAAAAATTCACAGATCCACAGGTCCTATTTTTTTCTATTGAAAAACATGCACAGAGCCACAGGTCCTATTTTTTCTATTGAAAAAAATTCACAGAGCCACAGGTCCTATTTTTGTCTATAGAAAAAAATTCTTAGACCCACAGGTCCTATTTTTGTCTATAGAAAAAAATTCACAGACCCATAGGTCATATTTTTTCTATAGAAAAAAATTCACAGACCCAAAGGTCCTATTTTTTCTATAGAAAAAATTCACAGACCCAAAGGTCCTATTTTTTTCTATAGAAAAAATTCACAGACCCACATGTCCTATTTTTTCTATAGACAAAATTCACAGACCCACAGGTCCTATTTTTTCAAGTCCTATTTTTTCCACAGGACATATTCACAGTAATTCACAGAACCACAGGTCCTTTTTTCTATAGAATAAACACCACAGGACCTACATATTGTATACAAACAAATTTACGGGACCACAAATCCTATTTTTTCTATAGATATATCGATACATGTTCTGTCATAGCTTTTATTTCCTATCAATGAATATTTCCATGCTTCTTGGAACACAAATACCTCATTTCTTCAATTAAAACACTTCTATCCCGCATGCAAGATATCTATTGCGATTTCTCCATCCGACCACAAAATGAGTCATCTATATACATGTATGTCCCATACATACACATGAAGAACCACCAATGTCATCTTGACCATTTCATTTTACATTCTCTTTCAAACCAAACTAATGTTCGGCATTCCATTTGTGGGTTATCAAGATACTAATGGTTACGCTGCTGACCCATTAAAACCGTATCAAATGCTAAAACTCGACATAGGAAAATTGTTGTATAAACAGCAGGATAAATCCGTATCCCATTACAACCTCAATATTCTTTGAGAGGGAAAATAAAAACAAAAAAAAACATTTTGCCATTCCCCAGAACTCAACAAAAAACAACACATTTACAGGGAGCCGTTTTCTTCGAATCGACGTGAATGTGATATGACGCATGTGAACAAAATCATCATCACATTTTAAATGGATTCCTATAACATAATATATTTATGTATATACATTGGATTGGGGGAGGGACATCGGTAGGGAAATTCTGTGTTTTTTAATTCTGAGTAAATATTGTAAGAAAATATATTAAAAGGGTTCCCACTTCAACGTTTCCATTTATTTGCATACATATTCGCATTTTTTACACAACCTATCCAATTTTTGTTTTCCATTGCATAGTCCTTGACTCATTTTGTGGGCGAGCTGTTATCCATTGTTGGAACCCCCCGCACATAAGCTCAATGCAAAGCTATGCAAAGTGCGGTCAATTCATTCTGGGCAAAGTATAAAATCCTTTCATTTATCAAACTCCCACATATGACACATCCAGAGATGGTCGGATGGTGGGAAATGCGATGATGTATTCGACATGTGTCGATGAATGTTGGAAACCCTTATGTAAAAATGAAGCATCGTAAGACGTTTATTTTTGAGTGAAACAACACAATTAGTGGTGTCTTTGGTGAAGTTCGCAAATCAAAGAAGTGGATGTTATGCTGGCAAAAACATGGATTTGATTCACTATATAGCTTATGATAACTTATTTTATTTCCCGAACGTACAGAAAAAACACGTGGTCAGTGATTTTCGCTCCGCTCACCATGTTTGAAGCGTTTAGATGAGTTCCCAGGTTCTATTTCGGAATTTTGAATTGTTTAGTCTTATTTTCCCACAGAGACGACTGTAATTTGGCATTAGGGATTCTTGGAATGTTAAGCGGTTTTTTTTCTATAAAGATGCTCGTTTTAATATAGTCCTCCTTTAAATATATTGCTTCATCAAACATCACATAAACAAGGTATATTGACAGTTACTTGAAATAAAACCAGTGACCGGAGCAGTATAGGCGGCCGACCATATGATACCCTACACAACTTCCAAGAAAATTATTATCTGATCATCAGCGAAAATTATGGGCGTTGTCCTTGACCATAACTGGAACCTAATAGAACATTTCAAAGCGATCAGTGGTATATTTCTGCCCTCCAGTGTTGAAATGGGTTACTAAATAATGAAAACGTAGACAAATGTAAATATTTATGTATAGCTCCCACATCCGAGTACATACAACAATAAAATTGGTATCACTTTACCAGAGATAGTATATCCTCTTGGATATACTATCTCTGGACTATGTCCTTCAGGGGTAAATATATACGCTACATAATACAAATTTTGTAATTTTTCACACAAAAGTGAGGGTCCATTTAACCCGTTAAATATTAACAGATCTTTATCAAAGCAAGCATGCATATTCTTTGGCCTGATCCCCTTCTCCATGTAAAAATTCGCGGACCATAATTGCGGGCTCTGGAGCGACCAGAAAATCACAAAAAATTAACGTATTTCATCCATTTCATACCCGAAATGTTAAGCGATCTTTACCAAAAACAATAGGGGTCTACATTGAGCAGAACCCATCCTAAATGCAATATTTCGTGACGGTGGCCGGAAAAACGGACGGACATACATGTCTAGATCGACTCAGCTAGTCGAGATAAGACGATGGGTATACATAAAGGTGGGTCTAGGACCAATATTTTGCGGCGTTACAAACTCTTGGGGCTGCACAAAGTTATAATACCCTGACAACTGCCGAATTCGGCAGAATAACGCGCACAAAACCCCAAAAATACCGAAAATTGGGGGGTACCGTTATAATGGCCAAATTTCGTGCAAATCGAAAGATATATAGGGACTTCGGTACGCCATTTACCTTAAATCGGACGAAAATATATATGGGAGCAATATCTAAATCTGAACCGATTTTTCCCAATTTCAATAGGGTTCGTCCGTGGGCCATACAAATGAGCTGTACCAAATTTCACCCAATGCGGATCATAAATACGACCTGTACTTTGTTTACAATTTAACAGTTTGCAAAGCCACGGGTAGTGCATCAAATCCTCCAGATTTACTTTTATAACATTTTATATCAATGGTATATCCCCAGTCTTTCCGATTGATATAAAATTTTTGCGATTGTCATATATATGATAAAACCGAAATCATTGTAGGGATCAGTTACTAAACTTTGCCATAATCGTTTACCTTGCTAGGTTATTCAAAGAACCTATTTTTGACCTAAACCTCATATAAAGGTCGCAGACTATCTCAATCAGACTAGCGTATATAAAGTAAGATTAAAATCCTCTGGTCAAGTATTTTATAATACTGGTCCATATTTTAGATAGCCTCCATATCGTTCGGCCTAACCAAACTGACAACGTTTTTACTTGTTGTTGTGAAATAAACACATTGTATATTTTGAAGGGTTCACTACATTTCATACATACTTTTTTCTACAGCAATAAGAAGTTTTTCCAACTGTCGAATACCTTACAATCCCATCCCTGACATTCACACCGATAAAAACATTCAACAACTTGCTTTCTCGTTGTTGTTGTCGCCAAACCTACGTTCGTTCATTTCTATTCTGTTTTTTCTCTTTCTCGTTCACCTCTTTTGTTGTTGTTTTTGTCATCGTTTACCCCCATAGCATATGGAAAATGTATGGTTTTGACATTTTAGCAAAATTAAAGTTTAGTATTCTGTTCGGTTTAAAGGAAATTGCAATAATATTGTTTTTCAAAAATGTGGATGTCTGTTGTTTGGTGGGCGCCTTCGCATTCTCCCCCCACCCGTGAGACGTGATATGGAACTGCAATATGTGAAGGAGTAGTTGTTGCTTCCTCGTACTATCCTGACTAACATTACAAAGTGGCTTATTTGTCTCAAGGAGATTTGCGTTACATGTCCTACTCTATCGTAGATAGTAGATTTGTTAGGGAGAAGCACGAAGTAAATGTAGTTTTGTGTTTTTCTCATTTTTTTTATTTTTTATTAGATGTTCAAGGAAGGCACGTGAAGGTAACATTAAAACAATGACGAAGTGAAATAAAAAAGGGCGAAATCTCAAAGTCAAAGGATATTATTAAAATGCAATTTTTCTAAAAGGATGCTGTTCGTCATTTGTAATGTGCAACGCGAAGGAACAAAAAAATTATTATTAAGTTATGGGGTTAGTTAGATTCGCGAATTGTGGAGCGTTATGGTGAGGGATAAAACATATTGCAAGAGCTTTAGAATGGTGAAACTAGTATGAGAACATGTTTTTAGAGAAAAAGGAAAAAAACTTAAGGAATATTCGAAAGTCGACCAGGGCCGACTATATGATACCCTTCACCACTTTGGGTACATACATGATATGCTCATATATACAATATCCTTCAAATAGAATAGACTTAGTATCTTTCGAGTACCATCGAAATGGAATCGAACGAAATTAACTGCGTGAAGTATCCAATACTTTATGCAATATTCATGTAAAGCGAAGAGACATAGGGTCATCCATTTGCACCATTTGCATAAAATCGGACAAAAATATATGAGGGAGCTATATCTACATCTGAGCCGATTTCAAGAATAAAATATCGTGCAAACAGGACCTATAGTGCATCATGGTCCTGTTTGAACTATATTTAAATCTGAACCGATTTCAAACTTAACAAAAAGCATTCCAGACTAAATTCCATACCCGCTGCTAAATATCGTGAATACAGAACAAACATAAACCCCTCGGAACTGGGAGCTATATCTAAATCTGAACATATTTCAACAAAACTTCACGGATGTCAACCTGTATTAACCCTTTCAGTGTCAAAAAAATTTTGTCGGAATAAAAATCTAAAATTTTGTACTTAAAATCATATGAAGGCACAAAGTTTAGAAAAAAAAAACAATTCTTATTTTAACCCTCGGACAGTTTTGTCTGTCTTTCAGCAAAAACAAAGACAGCAATTGTAACGGTACATAGGATAATCGAAAAATTGCAAAGAAAGAGAGTAATTTTAAATGTCGAATATATTCGACAAAAACACTGAAAGGGTTAACTTCAATACCGTATGAAAAATTTTGTCTAAATCTGTAAACATTGTCTGTTTGGTACTCCATTTATATAAAATCGGACGAAACTATATGCGGGAGCTATATCTAAATATAAACCTATTCCAACAAAACTTAACATACATCAATCTGGACCTAATTCAGTACTCTGTGCAAAATTGTGTCTCAATCGGACCAATATTGGCAGTATGGGGCTCTATTTACATAAAATCGGACAAAATTATATATGGGAGCTATATCTAAATAAATTCCTACGTCCTTAAGTTGAGCCGAATTTTTTATACCTTCGATCCCCCTTCACCACACTGTGGTAAAGGGTATTATGACTTTGTGTAGATGTTTGTAACAGGCAAAAGGAAACAAGATAGACACAAGATTCTTTCTGAGAATATGGAAAGAATCACTTGCCAAGTCGATTTATGTGTGTTTGTATATGTTAAATTGTAAACAAAGTACAGGTCGCATTTAATATTCGAATTGGATAAAATTTGGCACAGCTCATTCATTTGAATCAAGGACGAGTCCTATTGAAATTGGGAAAAATCGGTTCAGATTTATATATAGCTCCCATATATATGTTCGTCCGATTTAACGTAAATGGTGCACCGAAGGCCCTATATATCTTTCGATTTGCAAATTTCGTGAAAATCGTCATAGTCATATCGTACTGAATTAACTCTAGAATGATGTGTGCTAAGTTACGTAAATATTGGTTCATATTTATATATAGCTCAAATATATACATTCGTCCGATTTTACATAAATGGTGCACCAAAGTCCCTATTTATCTTTCGATTTACACGAAATTATGCACAGCGTACTGAACTAAGAGTAGACTGATGTGTCTTAAGTTTCGTTGAAATCGGTTCAGATTTAGATATAGCTTCTATAGATATTTTTGGCCAATTTAATGTAAATGGTGCACCAAAGACCTTATATATCCTTCGATTTGCACGGAATTTGGCATAACGTACTGAATTGAGTATAGAATGATGTGTGCAATGTTTCGTGAAAATCGGTTCAGATTCAGATTTTGGTGCACCAAACTCCAAATACATTTTTCGATTTGCACGGAATTTGGCATAGCGTACTGAATTGAGTCTAGAATGATGTGTGTTGAGTTTCGTGGAAATCCGTTCAGTTTTTGATATAGCTCCCATATAAATTTTCGTCCGATTATACATAAATGGTGCACCAAACTCCTAATGTTTGTCCGATTAACACGAAATTTTGCGCAACGTATCAAATTGAGACTTGAATGACGTTATTGGGTTTTGTTGAAATTGGTGCAGACGCAGCCATAGCTTCCATATGTATTTCGACGGATATCTGATTGAGATTAACAGCCTGTTTTTGTAAAATTCCAAACGAACGAATTCGAGTGACTTACGACCAAACCTTTATTTATGTTTATAAAGTTTTTCTGATTCAAAACAAAAATAAATGACATATTTTTCAAAACCAAGGAGTTTGGTCGTAAGTCGCTCGAATTCGTTCGTTTGGAATTTTACAAAAACAGGCTGTAAATTTTTAACTGTGCGGCGTACCGAATACCGAATCTGCACGAATGAAATTAAATTTATTATAGGTTACAGAATGACATGAGTATGTTCCTTCGAGTGAACATTGACATTCAACTGTAAGGATACATATGTACAATATACCAAAGTGGTGTAGGGTATCATATAGTCGGCCCAGTTCGACTTTACTAATTTCCTTACTGGTTTTAATTTATTTTTTATTCACCAGGAATCCGATGTCAAATTATAGATACTTCCATGAGAAAATTCGGTTAAAAATTTAAATTTATATATAAGTCTGCCTTTCAGAATCCATTTATACCAGATTACAGTACCATTGGTTGGAAAGTTTGGATAAAGTCTTCAAAATACCGAAAATGGAATGATACCTGTCTATGGGAGCAATGCCAAACCGTAACCTGACTTATGATAGGAAAATTTGACACCCCATAATAAATTGATAAATCAAATTAGAACGAATTCGGTTGAAAAACATGCCCAAATCCCCAAAATACCGAATTATGGGTGTACCATAATATGAGGGCTACCCGGAAACTTAATAATATTGGTAGTGGGATTTTCTACTCGGTGAGAATGCAAAATATAAAGTTACAGCTAATTAGGACAGGATATAAAAATCCTATCCAGACAAATGCTATATTAGAGTATTAAAATTATATACAAGTGATCTCTATATAAATTTGTACAGACTGTACTTTAATTTCCCTTAAAAACAAAACATTTCTTTCCTCAATTTTAAATTCATTCAACTGGCATTTTTCCAGCAAATAAAAATTTATATAATAAAACATAAAACACATACTAATAGCTATGTACTCCGCATTCAACAATAGCTTATATACAAAGGCGAATAAAAACGGCAGAGGGGCAAAAAAAAACCCTGGCAAAAGCATTATCCCCCATACTTACCATTAATATAAGTGAATAGTCTGTAATGTAGGCAACAAGTATGAGTAGCAGAAGACCAAGGCCAAAGCCGGCTCGATGAAACGCATATGGAATGCCAATAACGCCACTGCCTACAATTGAGTTGATGTAGTTAAAGGATGCCTGCGGCAATGACGACAACGTTTCACCCAATGTCCCATCGCCTATTATGGCACCTAGACCGATGTTTCCTATGGTACTGCCTCGGCCGCCGCCGCCAACACCTCCACCGCGGCCACCACCATTTGCAGCCTCACTTGTGCCATCATTGGTATATGAATTTTGTTGTTGCTGTTGTTGATTTATACTGCTCTGTAGCTGGGGGTCCTGCTGCTGTTGACTGTAGTACTGTTGTGTATTACTACCAGCATGATGGTCATTCTATGAATACAAGGAGAAAAAATGAGGAGAAATTACAAAAAACGGTTCAACAGACGAGTAGATTAAAATCCGAGTACATGCAACAAAAAAGGGCGCCGTTCATGCAACCACGACTCGCTTGTTAAAAGAAAATCATAACCATTGGCGGAATATTTGCCAAAAGTCAAAAGTTGTTGAAAAAGTAATCGTTGTACACCACAATTAAGTGCAGTTTATGGTTGAGACTAAAGTGGAGGGTAGGTGGTTTTGGGGGTCACAAATGCAAATTATTATAAGGGATTTAAGGTAATGATGTACATAATAGGGTGTGGTCTCTAAAAAGTTCGAATGTGGGATTTATATTAGTTTAGAAAAAAATATAAATATATAGAATTGGTAGGCAAATTTGAAAGAAAATTCGGTCAAATTTGAAAGAAAATTCGGTGCACGTCTGCTGTTCCTTTTGCTTATGCAATTCATCATAAAACAATATTTCCCATTATTTTCTGTAGGTCATGCTCTGTCATTATAAATTCACCCACAACATCAATGTTCTTTAAAATATATAGCTTCACCCTTTAATATATTATAAAATTATACAACTATTTTAACATTTCTTCAAAACTATTACTTTCCCAACCAACTCAGACTTCCCATCAACAAATCTACTTCTACTGCACCACCACCCACTGGGCTTAAGGTCACAACGATAACCCAAAATAGCAGCAACAGCATTGCCGTAGGTGTTAAAGAACACTTAATTATTCACTATTATGTAGACTAAAGTTTTTTTCCGGCTTTTACAACCCACTTGCTTTCAGTTTTTTTTTTATAGACGTGGGGAAGGAGGTTTAATTAAAAAGCAGGAAAAAAGCAAAACGATTCTTCATTATTTTTACTGATGGTCGATGAGTTTGTGCATTCGGTATGCACCAACAGGTATAGCTTCGTACGTACGTAACCAAATATTTACATCATTGATTGCAAAAAACGGGCAGAAACAAAAACAACAACAACCAGTAACATTTGCTAAGGATGCTTTCAATGCAACAGGGTGTTTGCACAAGCTGTATATATGTATGTGTATAGGTGAGTATTATATACAGTGACTGGCCGTGTCATTGGTTTCGTTCAACAAAATACTCAAATATTTGTTTCAAGAGTTCGTTTTGGAGTTTTTTATTGGCGATATAATTTTAATGTATTTCATAAAGAAGAGAAATTGGAATATATCTATCTATATAAAATAGGAAACAATTTGTTTGTTTGTATGTTACCGATAGACGCCAAAACCGCTGAACAGATCTTAATGAGATTTACACTGTAGGTCGGGGCATGCCCTGAAAGTAACATCGATTATATAAACTTTTAAAATTCCGCGTGGATGCGGAGTTATAGCATCAATAGTAAACATACTTCAAAATTTCTGAACATGTAATATGCGTTTATCTTAAGAACGGTTACAGATACCGTTTTCAAAATTTACCTGAATAATGAAGGTGTGAATATACATCATCCATAAAAAAAACAGTAAGGAAAGTAGTAAAATCGGACGGGGCCGACTATATGATACCCTTCACCACTATGGGTATATTAAACAGGACTATTAACATGAAATTGGATGAAATAATATATGTGATATTTATCTAAATGTGAATCTACCTAGATCTATCCATAAAGTATGTAAATCGAATTCAAACAAATATAAATAGGTCATACGTTGGGCTATGTCTGTACTTCTAGAAAACGCTGTTCTATGCTCAATTTTGTACGTTGTGCAAAATTTGATGTCAATCTGACTAACTGAGGAGTTTGATGCCCAATTTACTTGAAATCGGGCGAAAATATATATGGAAGCTCTATCCAAGTATTAAGCGATTTCAAGCAAACTTGTAACAGGTTAGGTTATACTAATTTTAGAACGTTTTGTTCCTATTGGCTCCTTGGTGCGTCAATTACTTAAAATATGTGGGAGATATATAGAAATCTGGACCGATTTTCTTGAAACTTGGCAGACATCACTCTAGGCTCAATTCAGTACGTTAAGCCAAATTTCGTGCAAATCGAAGGATATATATTTTCGGACTAAATTGTACACGAAATTTGTCATAAAAGTATAGAAGGATGATATGTTTCGTGGAAATCAGTTCAGACTTATATATAGCTCCCATATATATTTTCGTCCGATTTAATGTAAATGGTGCACCTAAGTCCCTATATATATTTCGATCTGCACGAATTATAGTATAGCGTACAGAATTAAGCCTAAAATTATGTGTGCTAAATTTCGTGAAAATCGGTTCAAATTTCGATATAGCTCCCATATTTTCGTCCGATTTTGTGTAAATGGTGCACCAAAGTCCGTTCAGATCTCGTTTCGTTCAGATCTAGACAAAGCTCTTTTATACATTTTCTTTCGTTTTTATGTAAATGTACTAAAGAAACTCAGTGTGTCCGATTGACACAAAATTGTGTACAAAGTGCTGATGTTAATATAATTAATCTCTGGAAAGTTTCGTTGAAATCGGTTCAGATATAAATATACATTTTCGTCGGATTTTAAAACTCCTAATGTTTGTCCGATTGACACGAAATTTTGCACAACATATCAAACTGGAACTAGAATGATGATATTTCATTTTGTTAAAAATACAGACATAGCTTCCATACATTTTTTTCGAACGGATGTCTGACTGAGATTAAATTCTCGATTTTAATTTTTCAAGATTTTCAATGGGCTGGTAAATCAATACCAATGCTTGGTAGGGTTTGTAACTTTGCACATATATATATTTGTAGATTTAAAAGAGAAGAAAAATAATTTACACAAACTTTTTGTTATTGTTTTGTTGTTGTTTTTTGTAATTTTTTCTTTAATTACTTATTTTTGATGGCGGGCATGATAACTCCTCACTGGAACATCGGAATCCGAAAATTATTGTTCAATTTCATGTCATGCCATGAATCGTATCATATACTCGGCCAAGTCCGACTTTACTACTTTCCTTACTGTATTATATTAAAATAGTTAACCGATTTCATCCAGTTGTCCCCACCATAGTATAGGTTATATTCTGTACTCGAAATTTTTTAGTCTATTTTTCCATCTGTTGCAATCAATCTACCTTCGGAGGATATCGAAATAAAAAACTAAAACGTCAGGTTCGAGAATGAACTATATAGGCACGAATCATTTACTACTAACTTTTTCCTTACCATTTTTATCATATCCTGCATATTATTTTATGTAGTATCTTAATGGCATGCATACTATTATTTTACCGGATTTTAAAATCAAATTAAAGGTTATTTGCTTAGCATATGTTCGACACAGACTAGCTTAGACTTGCACACTGGAGGTGTAATTGTGTAAAACTTTTAATGCCATACCCAAAAACAATGTTTCTTGTTTGTCGACATTTGACTATTTATTGTACATAAATTGTTGTATCATAATATGAAATGGTATGTGTGTGGCTGTATTTACCGATGTGTATGCATGCGTGAAAGTAAAAGTGTTTCCTCAATTGTTTTTCACTACCCTCAACATCTACCCCCCCAACTTTGCTAAAAACACTGCAAAACAATTTCAATACTACAAAAGCAAAACAAATGATAGCATGATATTGTTGCTAAGAAAAACTTTTACTCTTTGATATTTTAACAATTTTGCAACTTTTTTTGGAGTGTTTATTATTGTCGGTAATTGAATAAACAAAGTTTACACCAACTAAACTTGTACTTGTTCATTTTTCAAGGTTTTGGCTTCTTGTTGCCGGTAGTTGACATATCTATTGTTGTAAAAGTTGCAAATATTTTTGAAACTGAATTTAATTAATTAAGAAATGAGCATTTTTTCGTTTTAGCTTTTTGTAATGAATTATTTTACTTTAACATTGGAATGTAAAACATTGTATAGAAGATACTTTTTTTCAGAAATGTTAAAAACTTTTGAATAAGAGTGTACATTGTTAAGGATTAATTTGTTAAATAAAGTATTAGTAAAATAGAAAAGTGAAGAGGAATATGTATTGAAATATGATAAAAAGCAAGCTGATATTTTTTTAACCCGAGCTGTGCTAGCGTGACAATATTGTCGCAATCATAGGATGATCAATAAACCATCTAAAAAACCTATACCCGAGCAGTGCTAGTGTGAACACATGGCCACAGCCTAAAAATTGATCCTGTCGATTATCCTGATAAGAAAAAAGGATACAAATCAAATTTTTGGATTCAGTGACCCACAATCTAGAGACGCTGAAAGTTTCGTCCCAAAATTCGACAAAATATTTACGGCACTATCCGGGTTAACTAATTTTTTGTACGCTCCAACATGTGGTGTACATTCAAAATTCCTTAGATCGGTTGAGACCATTAGGGTAGGAATTTCAGCATACCAAGACCAGCCAACTATATGATACCTTTCATAACTTTAGATACATACATAGATGCTCATACCTACAATATTCTGTCTGACATTGTATCTTTAGAGTAATCAATCAACCCATAACCAAGTAATTCTGAAATCAACGTAACATTTCATGACAATCGTGCAGACTTGGGGTATATGGTATATCATTTGAATGAAAAGCAAATTTGACATACAAAGCGCGCAGTCCAAGATTTCACCTGAATAGAACAAACGTCGGTATTTAGGACAGAATTTCATGAAATCGGACATATTTTCGTCCGATAGGAGTTACGCCTATATCTATACCTATTTCTGCAAAAGTTATTCTAGACAGAATTCAATACATTATATAAAATTTCATCTAAATCGGACAAACCTTCGGTGTTTGGTGTACCATTAGCATAAAATCGGACGAAAATATTTAAGGGATCTATACCTATATCTTATCCGATTTCAATAAAACTTTACACACTCTATCCTTATATCAATTTCTAAATTACGTCTCAATCGGGCAAACATTGGGAGTTAAGATCGGAAAAAAATATATATGGGCACTTTATATATATATATATATATATATAAATATATATGGGAGCTATATAAAAAT